CTCAATTTTCAGGGTTGAGAGTCTCCCTAGTACGAGACACTCTTGCTTTTTGACCACCATGTCCGCGCCCGACCAGAGCCCCCGCCCCCAAGACACCAACCGTGAGTGATGCCCAAGGCGATTACCGCAACTTTTCAACCACGCTAACCATCCATCAGCCGTCACCGAATCAGCTGTCCCGGGAGCAAACCTGCCTGCCATCGACTGGCGGCAGTTCATGCCGTCAGTCAAGGTCTCTCCCATGGCTTGTCGATCCAACTCACCACCTGCCTAGCCCTGAGGCTTACAACCAGATGTTGCGGCAGATGGCCGTCGACGTCCGCCAGATCCAACAGGTGAGCCCCGTCCTAAGCCCGCTGGAGCAAATAGTCACGGCAATCAATGATTGCCGCGTCTGTTTGCTTCGGCCTTCCCTTCTTTTCACTAACGTAAGGGCTAGCCGGCGCCTGCGCCTTTGACCACCAACGCTCCAGTTGAGGAGTCGTCGCCGCCGAATAAACGCAAGCGAGTCGTCGAGCCCGTACGTGTACTCTGTTTTATTCGTTTTAACCATGTTCTGATCGACTTCCAGGCGGCTTCAACCGGGCAAGTCGCCGCCCCTTTGTCGTCCCGGCCTGCCAAGCAGAAGGGGAAGGGTGACGGCTCCAAGTCGCAGGCCCCTACCGCCGTCGCGGGCAGCAAGGTCGCCGTCGCCCAGAAGTCGAGCGAGAAGTCGCACGGGAAGCGACCCAAGGCGGGTCCTGCCAAGGAGCCCAAGGCGTTGTCCCATGCGCCTACTCGTACGTGGTTTTTCGTTTGATTCACCAAAGTCGCGGGTACTGATTTGTCGTAGCCGCTACCTCGGTCCCTGGTCCACAGGGATCACCTCCCAAGCACGTCTACAAGAAGACACACGCAGGTGTGTCCATCTTATGTCTTCTTTTGTTGATCGTTAGACTAACCACTTTGACCCTCCCAGCTCGGATCCAGGTGTTATCCCTGCCAACCGAGTCCTCTAGTGAGGAGGAAGCCGCCGCCGTTGCCGATACCGCAATGGAGGTCGACGACGAGGTGGCTCAGGAGGGAGACGCGCCGTCGGCCGACGAACTGGCCCTTCAGGTAAGTGACCCAGTTTGTCGATCGCGATTCCTTCATCTCATGGTTGGTTTGTTTTGACAGGGGTCCAAGTCCAAGGGGAAAGCGCGATCGAATCTGAGTGCGTTTTTCCTCTCGTCCCCCTCTGTCGTTTACTCATACTTTCGTAGCCCCGTCCGTCATCATCATGGACGACACCTCCGAAAGTGGAGAGGAGACCGGCGACTTCGTCGTGGCCAAGAAGCAGGTCAGCGAGACCCGCGTCAAGCCCAAGGTAAGCCTACTCCTCTTTCCCAGACCACGCCCCTTAATCCGGCTTTTTAGCCAATCAAGAAGGTCGCGGATGGATCGTCCAAGTCGACCAAGTCCGTGCCTCACCAACCGGTGCCGAAGGTGGAGGCCAGTCGCAAGGCGAGCGCCCCGCGGCCGACGACTACCCCGACTCCAGTGCCTAAGGTGAGACACGAGTCTCCTGTCTTCCAGACGTCGACTAATCATTTTTCTTTCTTTCCTAGGTTGCCCCGGCGGCCCCTGCCGCTACCAAGACTCCACGCAGCGAGTTGGGCAGGGTGGCCGCGACCCTTGGCCGCGAGCGGAGTGCTGCGGCGGCCAAGGCCGAGCTCAAGGCCCAGAAGGCAGAAAAGTCCGTTGCGGCGTCCAAGAAGAAGTCTGACTCGGTGAGTCGCGACTTCTCTTGTCGTCGACTTCTTACTGACTTGACTGTTTCTAGACTCCTGCAAAGGCGTCGGCCCCCACGCCCCGAGCTCCGTTCACTCCCGCCGCCTACGACACTGAGGCGCTCCTTTCGGTGGCACGCCAAGGGTTTGCGGGGAAGTTGGAGAGGGCCGGCGTCGAGGTGCCAACCGACTTCGTGCGTTTCCTTATCTTTTTCTGCCATGGCTCGACGACTGATTCCCTTTTCATAGGAGGTCGCTCCAAGGCCCTGCGCGATGTGCGTGACGCGGCAGCGCGTCTGCTTCAAGAGCGTCGACGGGCGCCACAGCAATCGATGTGCCCCGTGCGTACTGTACAAACAGACTTGCACCAACGGCTACAAGCCCGCGGAGCAGCTGTATATGGGCCAGCGCTTCGGGTACATCGCGCAGATGAGCGCGGATGGTACGAGTCCACTCTATTTTCTTTCATTTTTGTCTATGAGTCTGTCTGACGACTTCTTCAGATCTCAACAAGTCCGCCAACCGTCTTGCTGACACCTTGGACGCATACGGCGGGCTTCTTCGCACGGCCAACGAGATCCGCGTCCTGGCCATTGGCCAGTTCCGTGACTTTGTTGGTCAGCTGAAGGAGCACTTCGACGACGGCTCCGACGAGCGGATCAAGGCGATGTTCGTCCACACCGCGACCGAGATCGACGCCGTCGAGTTGGCCGACATCCGCAAGGGTGTCCAGATGATCTTGGCTCACAGGGACTTGTTGGATGGCGAGGCGAACGAGCGGTTTGCGGCACCCCCTGCCTTCTTCGATCCGTTTTTCTATCGCGAGATGGAAAAGATGGAGAAGCAGTTCCAGAGGGAGATCGAGAAGGCCCAGGAATTTGACAAGTCGGACCCCGCGACCATCCAGGATCAAGCCTTCCAGCCCGGCGAGGACCACAAGATCGACGTCATGCACTTGGCAAGTAGTCGTACCCGTGCGCCCTTCTCGTCGCCCCTGCCTTCGCCATCGCCGCCTCCCGTTGCGTCGTTGTCCCAAGCCGTTTTACAGGTCTTGGACTTTTCCGACAACTACGAGGAGACCTTGGCCGAGTCCACCAAGGCCGATTCGGATGAAGACGCGGAGGGTGAAGAAGACGGGTCCGCCGGCAACGAGAACGTCGACAACAGGAAAGTCGACAACGAGAACGTCAACGACGAGGGCTCCGACGCCGCGGGTGAGACTGCCATGGAGGTGGATGAGCAGTAGTTCAGCTCATTCCACCGTCCATGAACGTCGCGGCCCCGAATTTATTTATTACATGCATCAACGTATCGTACCGTTGTCGTACATCAATTCGAATCACATCCTGCTGCTTGAGTCGTCGTCGCGTGAAACTTTAAGTCGAAATTTTCAAAATTCTTGGTAGAATTCTCATGAAACGATTTTGAAAAAGTCCCAGACCCCGTCCTCAGTAGCATCATTGGATATTCCACTTTCCAGCACATGGGTCCAAGGGGTGTGCACGTTGTCGCGCACCTCAATTTCCAATGTGTGGACTTCTGCGGACTCTGTGGCTGATCTTTCGTAAGATCTGCCCTCTCCCAGGAACACAGATCTAAGCCGTCCTCGGCTTATCTGATGCGCGACTAGAAAAGTTTTTCCAGAGTCGACAATATAAAGTCTGGGTGGGCTCGACAGGTTATGTCCAGTCCCATTCTCAGTCCTTATTTCGTTCCCATTCTTTCTCTCTATCCAGGCCTCGCTATGTCCGCGTTTCCTCTCCCCCAAGACTTTGCATTGCTCGTTGCGTCATGGAAGAAGGCTAAGCCTTCTCTCGCGGCGATGAACAAGCTGGGTCTAGGTGGTTCAGAAGGCATCCTTAGCGTTGGCAAGGATATTTTCTTTGTTTGAGTAAGTTGATTTGTGATGGCGTGTCGCGGCGATTATCTTATCTCGTCGACAGACCCGCTTTCAAGCTAGCTCGTTTGCTGCTCAAGATCCTCCCCGCGACGTTTTGGATTGTCTCGAGGAGGCCACCACTCTCGCTCTGTCTCAGACGGAACTGCTCAAGGAAGTTCCTGAGAAGCAGCGCAACGCCTCCCAGACCAAGGCCGTCAACAAGTATCGAGCCTATCTGGTTTGGCATGAGTCCCTTGTCGCGGCGATCATCAGCCTGCGACAAGCTCAGGAGAGCATCCCATGTCCTGCTGCAACTCCGTCGTCGTCTGGGAAGGCCAAGGTATGATCCCCGGTCTTTGTCCAGATTTTCTTACGGATATTGTTGCACAGGCTGAAGACCCTGTTCCTGAGGCTTCAGGCTCAACTCCTGCCATCGACATTGATTCAGACGTCGAGATGGAGGCCCCCACTCCTGTTCAAGAGAAGGTGCGTCCGTCTTGAGTCTCTGCCGAGCACAGGTTGATTTTCTCAGACCCCGCGACCATCTACTCGCAAGACCGTCGCAGGACGGTCTGGTTCTCGATTGGTCGACGGATCTGGTCATGACGACTCCGTAGGGCTCGCGGACGTCTATGGGACTATCATTCGACTCATAGACGAGCACAATAGGTCGATGCGTCTTCTCAGCGCCAAAATGTCGAAACTTCACGCGGAGCAGATGGAGGCTCTAGGGAGCTGTCTCCAGAGTTTCCAGATGTGAGTTTTCACTCAGTCGCGGCGACTACATTTCTGACCAATTACCCAGCCATCGTTTGTTGTCACCGGCTCGAAGAGGCAGCGACTCAGCAACAGTACCACTGATGCGACCCTGGGTGAGTCTCGCAGTTACACTCTCCCGCCGCGACACTTTGCTTAACTGATTGTCAGCGTCCGCGTCCGACCGAAGGTTTATTGCGGACCGAGTGCATCGACATCAATTGTACCGGTTGCGGCGGTCCATTCCACTCGAGCTCCTCATCGAGGAACGCGACTACGTCACGTCGCGGCTAGAGGAATGGAAGACTGCGCTCAAGGACGTCAAGGAAGCCATTGACCTCTCGATGTCGAAGAATGCGGCCTAATCTTTCATAATTTGTTCTATATGCACTCTCCTTCCATATGTCTCTTTCTCTCTTGTCACTTATTTATGAAGTCGCGTCTCTTCTTCTCGCGCACCTCCTTTATGACCTTTTTCTTTTGAGATACAACCCAGTATAGTCCTTAGGTACCAGCTAGTACCCAAGCAATATACTGAATTCTGTCTAAAACTGAGAGAAGCGACGTCTTGTCGTTCGAGAGCCTGCCGCGACAATTACTTGTTTGCCAGACTTTCACTCGACAGAGGCTGGATCCTCTACAGGGTCGTCGTCGTCGTCGCTATCCGAGTTCTTAAGTTTCACACCTTCGAACTGGTAGTCGCGGACGTCAGATATTTCCTCTACCAACTCATCGAGTTTAGCAGGCGAAATATCTATCAGCTTCTTTATATCTTCAGAGAGTGTCAACTTCTGTCTTGCCAAATAAGGTATTACTCTGAACGCCGCGACTTTCGCATGGAACATCGCACCGTTCATTTCGCAGACTAAGTAAGAACCCCCTTTGGTCTTTCGAACTACAATCATGGGCCCAAGATATCTAGCTTTCATCTTGTTGTCCAATGATTTTTCAATAGCTGTGTTCCTGACCAACACTAAGTCCCCTGGTACAAACTTGTAATCTTTGATCACATGCTTGTACTCGAGTTCGTAGTGTTGAACCATCTTTAGTTTGGCGTCGCTGACGTGGCTGCGCATATCTTCAATATGGTCCGCGTGTTTCGCTAGAGCGCGTGCCCTGAGACCAATGAGATCTGCAGAGTCGACGATCCGGTCGGGATATTTGACTAACCACGTAGCTTCGACTATATCCAGAGGGATGGTAGGGTGGGCCCCGCATACTGCGAAGTATGCTGAACAACCCAGCCCGCGACGCACTGTAATTCTATCCGCCCACAAGACTTGTGGGAAGAACCAAAACCATTTAGAGGCGTTTCCCCCAGTAGCTTTGTACAGCGACTGTCGAATGTCCCAATGTCCTCTTTCAACAGTGCCATTAGCTTGGGAATTGTAAGGAGATATCCTTATTCCCTTGATACCATATTTCTTCTGTAACCAGTTCAACGCCGCAACAAACTGTCCTGCGTTGTCGGTTACAATCCACTTAGGACACCCCCAGCAACACACTATGTCTTTGAGTAAGAAACGCGCGATTGCCTTGGCGTTGTCAGCCTGTAGCGGTCGCGCTTCCACGTAGCGGGTCAAAGAATCCCTTGCCGCGACGACATATCTGTATCCGTTGGAAGGCGTTCCCATAATCATGACATCTGTATGTATCTTCTGAAATACACTTGGAGTCATAGTCGGCGTTGGTGGAGTGCGGAGGAGAGTTTTCTGGCGGACTTGGCAGCTATGGCAAGTCTTTCTCCACCAGTCGACGTCTCTTTCCATCTCTGGCCACCAAAACCGAGTTTCCAACAGGCTCTTAGTGCTGAAAAGACCCTTATGACCCAGCGCGTCGTGACACGCCTTCATCATATAAGTCCTGTGGTGCTTATCCACGACCAGTCTATGAATCCCATTGGTCGATCTCTTGTACATTTTTCCATCTTTGAGGAAAAACTGTCGCGAGAATCTGAGAAACGATCTGAACCGTTTATCTGTCATTTCAGGCCTTATAGAAGTGTCTTTCAGCCACTTCCTAGCCATTACCAACTTATTGTCTTGTTCGATCCCTGTGCCCGTCCTGTGATCCTCGATGTAGGGATCCTCCGGATTGTCGCGCAGTTCAAGATCAGGCAAAAGTGGTTCTCCGTTTGCCACATTGTTCAACATGAAGACTGGGACAACGAGACCTTGAGCGTCATATGCGTCTTTGACACGCCGATTCTCAGCGCGACGAGAGTCGCAAGCTTCGACCAGCTTTTTGGATATGTTGTCGACCGACTCAGCACACCCAACCATAGAGTTAAGGTAGCCACCTCTGGTGTCAATATCCCTTTTGAACTCTTCAAAGTCTAATGGTTGTTCCGTGTCGTAGTCCCAATTCTCGTTGTTCTCTGGTGGTGGCTTGTCAAAGATTTCCTCCTTGTCATTGGGATACTCTTTGTCTCCAGGCGCCGGTCGTCGTCGCGACAAGCCATCTGGTGAGAAGGTGATTCCTCTGACATGTTTCAAGGTAAACTGAAACATGAGGATCTCCTCAGCCCAACGGTTGATATTCGCGTTTGGTAGGTTACCAACGTTCCTTAGCATGCCTGCCAAGTACAACGCGTCGGTTTCGACTACCAGTTTCCTACAACCAAGAAGCCAGTGAGCCATGGCTTGAAGCACGCACTTCACACCATAAAGTTCACGCTTTGGTTGAGAAAACCTAGCTTCTCTTTCTGTAAGTGGGATACTCCCGGATTTCGCGTAATAGACTTTCTTCAGGTCATCTGGGTCGTGCTGGTAAATTTCGAAACCCGCGGCCATCCAGGATGTGTCTATTGCGACGACAATCTCAGAGTCCCACTCGTAGTTCAGAGGCTTAAGCAACGGACAGACTTGTATCGCATCCTTAAGTCTTTGAAATGCGAGCTTCTGTTTGTCACCCCATTCAAAATGCGCGTTCTTGTTCACTAGTCTCTGAATTGGTCGCACCATTTCAGAAAATCCTCTAATGAACATTTGCATAACCCCAATTGTGCCCATAAATTGCCGAACCTCCAAGACGTCCCTCAAGTCTGGCCAACGCATGATTACACCAACTCTGTCCGCGTCCGGTTTTCTTCCTTCAAACGAGCAGATATGGCCAACCACAGCAAACTCGTCGGCGCAAACCACCGACTTGGTACCAGACAGAGTCGCGCCACAGTAGCCGATTCTGTGCACGACGCGGTTCACATTTTGAAAGTGTTCCCATACAAAGCGACGAATCCCAGGATTCTCTGGAATCGTTTCACAGGTTCCATCTGGTAACAGATACCTGGTTCCAGGTCCTCGAACGGGTACGTTGTTGATGTATGGAATAGTAACATGAGGGATTTCGTCTTTCAAAATGAAAGTAACGTCCTCATGGAATATGGGTACTGAGTTGGTCCATCCTTGTGGGAGTTTGACCAACCTCAGCGCACCAAACGGTGACTGGAATGTAGTCAAGTCGCGACTAGCTGGATCGATGTCACGCTGGTCGTAGCCTGAGTAAAAATCTAGCGCAGCACCACAAGCGCGACCGGCGAAGTGGTTTGCTAATTCCTCTGTCGCGGGCGGCAATCCTGAATGTGCGATAGTAATTGCATTGAGTGGTTCTAGCAAGTGCACCAGTCTGATGCTCTTCCCATCCTTCTTAAGTACAGCAAAGAACTTGCTTCGATAAGAGGAATTGGAAGGTTTGTAGACCTGGGCCGCGATTTTGTCTTTGATGACCTTGCACACTTGGTCGAACATGCCGCGAGGTATAGGAATATTCCCTTCGCGATATGCCATATGGGGAACTGTCGCGATCTTGACAGGAGGAAATATATCCTGTCTCAATGCACCACGTTCTTCATCATTGAACGCGAAACTCTGATTGTGAAGCATATAGAAGTGCATGAGCAACTTCCGTTCTTCTGGCAATAAGAAGTCTCCTTTGTGTAGCTTGTCCACAATCTCCCTGCGTTCCGCCGTGAACCTACCAGTTGGGGTAAGATCAGGTGGTCGCGGGTTTAGAGTAGGTAGCGTATCCAAAGGATCTCCCACCATTTCTCGAATTATTCAATCGTCCTCAGAACCCATAGTGTACACTGGTCTGACCTTCTGGTCCACAGGTTTGTATTTCTTCCCTGCAAACACAGAGTATTTGTCGCGACTAGAAGAGTCGTCGTCTAGTACACTCCAAGTACCAACAGTCAGTTTTTCTGTTGCCGCGTCTGAGAGTCTTTCATTCATATATGAATGAAACAAAGTCGACGCAGCAACGTCTTTCTTCATTTCCTTGTCTTCTTTCGACGACATGATATATGCCTCTACTAGCTCAGTTTGGGTAAACTGGCCACTAGAACGCGGCTTTCTTAGATCCTCGAACACTACATTCCCATCCTTTCCCAACGACACAGTCACCGCGACTTCTCTTATCCCTCGTCTTCCTTATTGCACCGCGCCCCAGACTCCTCCTCGAGACCGACGTTTTGGGCATGCCAAACGGGCATTCCCCCGCGCAAACGGGGAGGGCTGTATTTAAACATGTCAGGACTGCCAATGCCTTGAGCAATGATGTGTCGTGAGATCTGTCACTTGCTACGTCGCTGATGCTGCTTCGATGCTAACTTTCAGCAAATCTGACTGTGTGGGAGTGTTATAACTTGATTCAGATACAAAATTATGTGGGCTTTTCGCGCCGTGATTGTTCTACGGGGCTCTGCGGAGATGTGATTGACCTCCCCGCCGAGCTTTCCTCTATGCAGTCAATGATAACTGACTCTTGGGAGAAAGGAAGTGTCTCAAAGTCACGGAAACGTCTCAGAAACATGGCTTAGTACGAAACCTGATACATACACTTCCATCGCTCAATGCACGCGGATTAATTGTACACTTGTGGGGCTCGAAGATCAAATTGATCCCATCCGACAAACGGGCATGTGTCCGCATCTTTGACCGTTCGAATTCCGCGCTTATAAGCCAAGAGTCAGTTATCATTGACTGCATAGAGGAAAGCTCAGCGGGGAGGTCAATCACATCTCCGCAGAGCCCCGTAGAACAATCACGGCGCGAAAAGCCCACATAATTTTGTATCTGAATCAAGTTATAACACTCCCACACAGTCAGATTTGCTGAAAGTTAGCATCGAAGCAGCATCAGCGACGTAGCAAGTGACAGATCTCACGACACATCATTGCTCAAGGCATTGGCAGTCCTGACATGTTTAAATACAGCCCTCCCCGTTTGCGCGGGGGAATGCCCGTTTGGCATGCCCAAAACGTCGGTCTCGAGGAGGAGTCTGGGGCGCGGTGCGATAAGGAAGACGAGGGATAAGATCCCCGTGGCGAGCGGTAGAAGCAGGATGCGCCGCAGCCAGTTTCGTCTCTCACTGGGTTTATACTGCGCCCGCTCGTCGGCGGAGAGGGGCAGGCTAATCATTTCCTTATTGTCTGGTTTCGCGGCTCTGGCCTCAGTCGAGGCAGCGGCAGAGGAGTGGAGGCGAAGCTTTGTACCCGCTTCGTGATTGCGAGCCATTAGTGCGTCATCTGATGTGCTGATGTGACGTGCCGAAGGTGAAGGTCAAACCACGAGATGGGGGCTTTGTCGAATTCGATCGATCCGTTCAAACGCACAAGGGACGTGCCGAGAGTCAGATGCACGGCATTGAACCAAGCGGACACACATTTCGGACTGGCAATTGATCATTCTAAACCTGCGATACCACGAGCACGTGACATCGGACTACAAGAGTCTGCACAAAAATATCGTCGAGTAATCAATTATCATCAAATTCAGTGAGGGTTTCTAGTTCCGCATCACAACTCTTTCGAATCGGATAGAGCAGAGATCTAGATGGTTGGTGAGACACAAGCCAAAACATATCCGATGGGGACGGACGCACAAAATCGGTGCTCTGTCCAGGACAGAGAGGCTCGTCGGACCAGGAAAAATTGAGCTCCAAGCCTTGATGGCGCATTTCCCGCAAATCATCCACCGCTTTTAGTACATTCGTGCCAGTAGGGCCCATAAAATCGACCGAGATCGATCGCAAAGAGCCGTTGGTCTCCGGGAATCGCCGCTTGACCATCTCTGCGACTTCTTCAACGCTCAATGTCTCGAACCAGCAATTGTGAAGGGTCAATGTTTCCAAAACAGGAAAAATCACTGTGAGTTTTTCGCTTGAACTCAGGGGCACGCGGTAGTTCAATGCTTGTATAAACTTCCGGCACACATCCCGCTTGGCCGCACTAAAGTATTTGATCGTCAGGTGTTTTGTGGAGGGAAGACGAGGAAGGCGTTTCAACTGGTCCATCGTCGGCGTGTCGGAAACTGTGAGCGCAATCAAGGTTCGCGCAGCACTGGAGCGCTCGAGAAGGCCAGGCACGAGTTCTAGATTTTCGATGGTCAGATACTGAAGTGCCGGAAGGATCAGGTATGCGGTGGGCCCGAGATTGTCTCCCAGACTGTGATACTGGACTAAATCCGGGAGTGTAACCAGTTCAACAGGGACAGGAAGCGCGAGGCGGCTTCTGCAGGTCAAGGTCTGCAATCCAGTGGTTCTACGCAGGACTCGGACGCATGCATCTGTGTCGAGGGCTATGAGGGTGAGATGATGGAGCTGTGACCACGGAAGAAGAAGATGGGTGTCGTCCAGTACAGCAAGCCGGACTGTACGCAGAGCGGGGGAATTTTGAAAGGCTTCGAATGGAGTCAAGATTTCTCCTTTGAAAATCGCGCTGATAGACAATCTCTCCAGTGAAGGCCATGTGATTCCACTCGGAAGTACAGAGAGCGCGTTTGGAAGCAAATCTTCGAAGGTCAAAGCTCGCCACCGAGTGGAGTGACGGGCGACCACTTGCACCACATTGATGATTTGAGAGGACGGGGGGGTCCACGAGAAAGAAACCGACAGTTCCAATGACAGCGAGCCCGCACGGCTAATGCACAAGCCGACGAATTCATCAAGTTTCGCCGGATTCGCTATGAACAAAGAAACGTCGAAGCGCGTCCAAAGCTGGGGCGTCCAGATCGCAACGTCTCGCCACGCTCTGCACACACCGGAAAGCCGCATGGATTGTTCCATCCCCTTCCCACACGATTCCTCATCTTGTGTGGACCATTGAAAGATCTCACTGGTCAGCTCGGCTGGCAGCAGCAGAATAGGGGTGTAGAATGGAAGAAGGGTCTGCCGTTCGGCACGCAAGGTGATGATCTCCCATTCGAGAGCGGCTATCTTCCGTGGGATTTCTCGCAGCCGGAGTTGGATATCGATGGAGGTCATGGTGTGAGTCGACGAATGAAAACTCGCACGTGGTTCTTGTCCCACGTGGTGACCGCGTGACCCAGCCACAGCTCTCGGATCACGCGCGCCGAATATCGAGCCAAAGTGGGACATTCAATCGTAACAACAACATTTCTTTTTTACAGAGTATTGCTATTCAGGTTAGAAAGGGGACCATGGAATCAAAAAACAAGCGACATGTTAAAAGATATGTTGAGTTGTTCAAGCAGCGAGAGAAGTGACCGACGCCGGCAGTGCGTTGTATATGGGACACAGCTCCTCCCACTCCGACGTGGGGATCAGCTCCGAGTCCCAGTCGGGAACATCCCCCGCAAGTACGATCGCGAAACCTGCCTCCAAGTGCCAGTCGATGTGGCAGTGGAGGAACCACGCTGTTTGATCGTCAGTCACTATGTTCCGTGGGTACCTAGTCCCCGAAGGGACTAGAACGGCTGACATGTGACTGTGTGATGGTCCAGAAGGCTTCCAGAAGAGTCTAGTCAGTTGGTCCATCAGTGGCTATGGCTCTCGTCCCCGGGTGGGGACTCCGACGACCGATCAGTGTCCTTTTAAAGTAGTCCCTTCCGGGTGCACATGTGTAGTCACCGCTGGGGTTCCGTATCGGCCCTTCTCGGCCCGGGGTCTATAAGCACTCACCTTTTCTTTTTTTTAAGGGACGTCGGTAGCTTTCAAATCGCTGACACATTGACTTACTTGAAGTCCTTCAATTTGAGGCCTTGGACTTTTGGACCCAGCCTAATAGATGAACTACACCCAAGGAAATGTACTTAGTAACCCAGTTGTATCCTCAAGCAGCCGCAATTGCTGTCGCGAACCGTGATTTCGTGAATCTGAGTTGACGCAGGAACAACAGGGGACCAGCCGGGATCGAGTGATGGCCGATCAGAGACCGATTTGTCTAGACCTCACTCGGTCTCACATGGGCACCCATGGGCACCGTGGTGACTACGCACATAGTCTCCCTTTGGTGACTAGGAGGGACGAGCCGCCTAGTCCCCTGAGGGGACTAGGTACCCACGGAACGTAGTGAGTCACCCAAAGCGGAAGACCGTAAACTTGAACACGCACGTCCGCGGTTGTCAGTGAAGAACCAAATTGTCACATTGTCACTGGCATTCCCGATGCTAACCACATCGCGGCGGGCGGGGTTGACATAGTTGTAGGTGCTGCTTCCGGCCGAGCGGATCACATCAAAGACGTGTCCGTGCAAGTGGAATGGGTGCTGCCAGGGTCCATTAGCGGACGAGCGACAAGTAGAACAATGAAACACACGGGACCACCAACTGCACCCCCGGCAAGCGTGATCTCGATGGATGCAAAGTGCGGAAGAGTGTACACCGAGCCGCTAGGCAGCAATGACTGCGCGGTTTGTGCTCCAGACAGAATCTGGAGCAGTACGGGAACAGTCGGAGGAACAAATGTCGCGCCATTGATAGTGAATTTTAACGTTGCCTTGTAGATGATGATCAGCTAATAGGCTATCATATATACGCACAGCAGATCTCGTTCGCGCACCGGATTGAATCCCAAGGCCAAGTTCAGCTGCACATCAGCGCCGCCGATAAAAGCCCCACCAGGGGCACCAGGATTGACGAGCGGGTGAAGGTTCACCTCGTTCACGAGGCCGTTGATCAATGTGTCCTGCGGCGTCTTCGGCTCGGATTCGTTCGCCCCGATGTTTGAAGGAGAAGGTTTAGACTGAGACGGGTCAATCCAAAGATGCGACCGACAGCGGAGGATGGCCGAGTTGGTCCCACCAGCGAACCCGGCTGGACCAGTGTTCGGGTTGGCACGAATCCAGTAGTTGTTGATGACCTGGTCGGCAGTCATGATGAACGAATACCGCTGACCTTCAGCAAGTCAGTGCTTTGCTGGCCGATGAACAGAGTCGACAGGCCACTGACCTGCAAAGATCTGAATCGAGTCCATGCTCAACGGTTCATGAAGGACGCCGTCCGCTTCGATGATAGTGAGGTTCTGATGCCTGTCGATCTGGAAAACGTACTATCGATGACCCACTTCTGCAAACACTTTGATGGTGGCCTCGCTAGCTTGCATAACACACACCGAGAAAAATAAAATTGAGGATACTAAATTTAGAACCCTTGAGACTGTCTTCATGAAATTTACTTGCTATCTGTGGGCAGAGGATGAAGCCACGCAGTTGCCAAAACAATCACTTTTTTTGGTGGGGCTGACCCCCCTTTTGCAATCGCTTCACTACGTTCCGTGGGTACCTAGTCCCCTCAGGGGACTAGGCGGCTCGTCCCTCCTAGTCACCAAAGGGAGACTATGTGCGTAGTCACCACGGTGCCCATGGGTGCCCATGTGAGACCGAGTGAGGTCTAGACAAATCGGTCTCTGATCGGCCATCACTCGATCCCGGCTGGTCCCCTGTTGTTCCTGCGTCAACTCAGATTCACGAAATCACGGTTCGCGACAGCAATTGCGGCTGCTTGAGGATACAACTGGGTTACTAAGTACATTTCCTTGGGTGTAGTTCATCTATTAGGCTGGGTCCAAAAGTCCAAGGCCTCAAATTGAAGGACTTCAAGTAAGTCAATGTGTCAGCGATTTGAAAGCTACCGACGTCCCTTAAAAAAAAGAAAAGGTGAGTGCTTATAGACCCCGGGCCAAGAAGGGCCGATACGGAACCCCAGCGGTGACTACACACGTGCACCCGGAAGGGACTACTTTAAAAGGACACTGATCGGTCGTCGGAGTCCCCACCCGGGGACGAGAGCCATAGCCACTGATGGACCAACTGACTAGACTCTTCTGGAAGCCTTCTGGACCATCACACAGTCACATGTCGGCCGTTCTAGTCCCTTCGGGGACTAGGTACCCACGGAACATAGTGCTTGTCACACGTATGGAGGCCTGGAGAGCCCTGCTGATAACCGAGAATAAGCGACGTTGATGGCTGATGGTCGGATGTGGGACCCCGGAAACTGTGCTTTGTCTAGCAATGTGACTCGTGCACTGTCAGTTTCGAGCAGCCAGATGTAAAATGAGTACGATGTATCAGCACACTGACAAAGAGAAGATAGTGTACAGATATTAGGATCATCTACTCAGACCGGAGCCTTCAGTCCAAAAAACTGACAATAATCCGAGCACTTGTGCTCCTCTCTGAACGCCGTGAACAACTTCCCAATGTTGCCACCACCAAACATGAGCTTATTTGCGTCTTTAGGTAGGTCCCTGGGTGCAAAAATTGATATGACACAACGCGCGGAGTCTGTGGAATGGCTCACGGAGTTGTCATGATTTGAGGGTCGGACAGGAGCATTGCGGAGCCTCGGAGAGCGTGAGCTTAAGATCTTGGAGTCGGGAGCGAGAACGTACCTTGGTAATCTGACAGGAATACTAAACCACCCGTCTTTTCGTACTGTATGTGTTGAGTGAAGCAAAGAAAGACCGCAATGTGGTAAAGCTTGTGTTCGGGACCAAGGTATGGCACCGGCGCACGATTGTGAACAAATTTGACGAAGCGATCCGGGATCAGCTCCTCGACAACAAAGGTACGCGTCAGCGAGGAATTGGTCACCACATTGTTACCTGTGACGCCCTCATGAACCTGGGCAATCCCTCCATCCACAAAACGAATTTCGGGGATGATCAGCGTAGCCGGGGTGGTCCATCACGTTTGATACGCGCCTCGATGAACGCGTAAGAGAGATCGAGTAATGAGGTGGCCCAGAGCAGCAGGTTTGCCTCGCACACGCTGTGTTGCAGCTCAAGGGCCGGCTTGTAGCGCTTCAACTCCGTGTTTTCGGCACGTCTGCTGGTGTCAATGACACGCTTTGAGGCAACACGCTGATTTGCCAATGAGCTGATTCCCTCGATTGGAGGACGATGGAGAGTCAGAAAGCCCTCGTGCGCATCCTTGAAGCTCCCATGGCCCAGCGAGACGCTCAGAATCACCGTCAACGTGCCGGACTCAGACCAGGCAGGGTCGCATGAGAATTTCATTGCGGCACTTGCAAAGAGTGCCTCCATCGACCGGGGAATGACACAAAAGAACATGACGCGCTCACACGTGGGGACATCTGCAATTGCATCAGTGTAGCTTGGAAATGTCGTCACTATCATCTTACCCATGTCAGCTGAGCGCGAGAACTCACCCCCAATGCTGAGCGATTTCCGAAGCCTTGCAAAATCGGCCTCATCTGGTGAGCGGTACCCCGGGTGAGATCGCTTTCTGGAGATGCTCTGCGTTGGGGTCTGGGGAGTTTCCGATGATGGACTGTTCGAAACTGAACTATTTTCGTCGTGAGACCATGATGCAGGTGCTAGCTCGCCAACTTTGGAAGGAGAGACAGGAGCAGGCACCGGCACGTGCACCAGAGTTGGAAATTCGGCACGCTTCCTCAGTATCCCAGGTTTGTCCTCAATGGTGAACTCCCCGACAGAGGAGTCTACTGTCGCAGAGACACAGGACAACGAAACCGAAACGGAGGCTTCGGAAGCATCCTTCCTTGGCTGGTGCCTTGACTGCTTCTATCGGATATGAGAACGCGAGCGGATATGAACCACACATGCACATACTCGCTTTTCTGGATGTCTCTGCTTCTTGCGATCAATAGGATTGTTGCAGTCAGTGAGATCCTGACAGATAGAGCAATCAGATTTGCTTTGGTAATACAGTAGCTCACGACTCACCTCGCTTTCGGCTTCGAGGAGAGTCTCCTCCCGTTGCTCCCAACTGCCGCTAGAAATCACCAGTGCGACTTGAATCGGTGTTCTTGGGGGCTTGAAATCGAGCTGTCCAGCTGTCTTCCCAGGCTTGTAATACTTTGCGGCGTAGAATGGTGCATCACGATCAGCAGTGCGTAGTTCCAGCCACGTTGTGATGTCCCGCACGGTCATCTCACTCGGGAGGAAATCAAATCCAGCGTCTTTGGAAAGACGTGGATGCATCATGTTCATCACGTGGTTGTAGATAAACTCTGCACTGGCTTCGGCAGGCACAGTCGTGCCCTCGCTGATTGTCTATAAACTGGGATGTAAAAATTGTTGGGGTAAGACAGATAAGATGAAACGCACGCCATAGATCTCGCCTTTAACTTGTTTTGGTGCCTCATACCTGATACCAACGAGCAGAGGTAGTACATCAGGAGATCAGCCAGTATATGATGTTTTTGCCCAGGATGCACGACTTGAGTGATAGTGGGAATGGCTGCGAGAGTATCCCTTGTCTGACCACTGGTTCGCACCGGTGATAGGCTGGCTACCAGACACGCTCTGCACCAGCTCTGTAAGGGCATATTTTTGCGCTTTTTTTACAGAGTTTACTCCCGAACCACTCGGTGTATCGTGTCGCGGATGACAGTGTTGCGCTCAGTAGGACTTAAGGGTCTACTGCCCAGTCGACAACTGTGGATAGTGTTGACAATAGCAAGGCAGTTAGGCCACTACTGTGGAATTGGCCTTATGAGTCTACACCAGGCTCAGGGCTATTAGTGATGAAGGCTTGGACTGCGACCATTCCCCAGAAAGGGATCTTTCGTTGCGGCGACTTCTCAAAAGGGTCATTCTCTGCAGATGGGAACTTGGGCTGAAGGGCTGAGCAATGTGCGACGTTCTCAATGATACAACTACTACTGGACAGGACTTGGCGTTACGAGATTGAACCAATCTTGTCGTGGCAACTCCCGGTTTTGAGTTGGACGTTTCCTCAGATCGTGCCACGACGACGACTCGTCACATGTCAGGATCCATTCGATCACGGGACATTGTGGACGCGTTGCGGTGACACTTCCAAGTGTCACGGCGAGTCGCGTCCATATCCAAACACACTAGAATCAACACAGCTAGGTCCGTGAACCGAGCCATGTGGGGGACGACTGGCGTGCCTAGGGCCATACGGCTTCTTGGGGCGCCCACGTTGGTCTCACATGCCAAGACATACCTGTTGGCCAATCCAGCACGTCGTATTCCAAAAGTATGACGCGGTGGGTTGACCCACATCAAAAGTATCATATGGACTATGGGGCGGGGTCCTGATCACTCAGGTCCTGTCCGATCGTTCAACTTTTCAATTACCCTAAAAGGCAACCGATCTTAGATAGCGTAGCTACTATGCAGTTGTACAGGACTTTACTAAGCATCGTCGTAGACAGTATAAGTAGCACGTCGTTTCTTTGTATTGGGAAGCTTTCCCCCGGACTGTGAATCACTCTCATATCAGATTGTTTTGTGCAATTTGCGTGCCGCGTGATTCCACCCTAAGAAGTTCTGCTACCCCTGCCCGGTCGCGACGAGTTGCTCCCTGAGCACTTGTAGCTACTGTGATTTGAGTTTGAGTTTTGAGACATCAGAAAGTCGGATTCGCCGCATCTCGTTTAGTCGCGGCATTTAGTGTCGTCGCCCTCGGGCTTTGTTGAGATCGTTTTCCACACCTCTAGCTTGGCAGTGCGTCGACTCGTTGTGCTCGGGTTTTGGACATTGGATATTGGCTGTTAGTTGGCAGTGCGTCGACGCGGCATCTTGGTTTACTAGTTGGCAGTGCGTCGACTCAGTACTTTTGGTTGTGTCAGTTGGCAGTGCGTCGACTTGACATTTGGGCTTTGCATCGCCATCTGGACACTGTCGCTACAAGGGATCTTAATACTTTGTATTAAGTTCTGACTTGTTATATTGTTGGTTGTGATTGGACTAGTGTTGGTTGTGTTCGTATAGAAGATATTGGTTGAGATACCACTGTTTACTATATATATATTCTTGTCGTCGACTTCGTCTTCCGCGACTATTGATCTGCGTCTATTGAGAGTTGTGATACTGGTGTTCTGTCCACCCTGAAGCCCTCGCATCTTTCACACACTGAGAAGCCAATTACGAGGAGTGTGCAGTCCAGTCAGTATGGTCTGAGACCCTAATAGGGTACCAAAAGTGGTCATTTTTTAGCCTTAAGAGGGTCCAAGACCACTCAGTGGTCTCAGACCATTCACCTTTTTGGGCACAACCACCCATCCCAATGCAGTAGCACCCCCTATTTTGACTGTTGAAAAGGGTGGTCTCAACCATTTGTTGGCCTGTGGTTGCACCCACCTCAGGTCAATTGATGGTCCTCACTGCATATGGTTGCAACCACCCTGTGATCATGCATTTGTGATTGCTCCAATTAGCCTTGTGGGCTGCTTGTATGGGCTGTTCAGCTTGTAGATGAGTACAATGGGGGTGCATCCAGCCCATCCCAAGAGGAGGATGCACTATCCAGCCCCAGGGCCGGCCGTAGGCCGGGGGAAAAAAAAATTCCCAGATGCTCCAATTAGCCTTGCAGGTTGCTTGTATGGGCTGTTCAGCTTGTAGACAAGTACAATGGGGGCGCATCAAGATCATACTGAGTGGAGGGTGCTGTATCTGGCCCCACAGCTAGCTGTAGGCCGGAATAGAAAATCACCCTTTGCTGGCTCGAGTGGGTGGTTGCAACCACCACAGGGGCTGGATGTGGTCAGAACCATCCTGTTCTCATGCATTTGTGAATGCTCCGTTTACCCTTTTAGGCTGCCTGTATGGGTGTTTCAGCTTGTATACAAGAACCTTGAGGGTGCATTCAGTGTATGTGCAAGAGCAAATGCTATATTTGAGCCCACAGCTGGCCATAAGCCAGGAAAGAAATAATTTATGAATGCTCCAATTACCCTTGTTGGCTGCTTGTATGCGTGTTTGACCTTGTATAGAAGTACACTCAGAATTGCTCATTTTTGGCACATTCTGGGAAACTTGGCCAGGATTGAATATCATATGGGGTATTGTCTAAAAAAGAAATGTTGATTTCTCATCACGTTCTATACCAGCATCAGTCACATACTTCACTGCCAAGTGGAATAGCACAGCTTTTGATTGCACATCAATTTTTGATGATGCTAATGATGTAACACAAATTTATAATCAGTTCAACAGTTACATGTCACAAAAGCCCTGACACTGCGGGGGGACTTATTTTTTTTCCGTGGAAAATGCGTGACAATCTAGAAGTTCGATTTTCACCGTTCTGTTTTCAGACAAAAATTATACATTGAGAATAGACGTCGATTTACGGCTAGATCTTTACCACGAATAGACGTCTATTCCTCCTAAAAACAGGACTGTAAATAGAAGATCTTTTTTTTTATCGATTTTCACTGAGAATAGATCTTCTTTTTTCAGTGAAAAAAGATCTTCTTTTTTCAATGCCGATTCTCACGAAGAACAGACGTCTATTCCCACTGAGAATTGATCTGAAAAAAGATCATCCTTTTTTCAGATCAATTCTCAGTGGGAATAGACGTCTATTCCCGCGAAGAATAGACATTGAAAACAGAAGATCTTTTTTCATTGAAAAAAGATGCGAGTCGCAACGACTCGTTATGAGTCGGCACGACTCAATGAACAGTCGCAGAGCCGAGTCGATCTGCGAGTCCTCATACATGCTGCCGACATTATTACGCGACTATACCGACACTCACGAGCTGCAAGACCCGCCGCCCCTTGCTGTGAGTGCCTGTGTCGTTGATGGGCCTGCACAGCCACATGATCCGCTGCAACCTAATGTTCAAATACCGCCGTCAACACCAACAACCCGTCTTTGCGCCTTGGATCTGAACCGCCATCTCCACCGGAAGAAATCTCGAGCATCCTACGACGACCCTCAATTTTCGCCCACCCTCTGTATAATTTTTTCCCGAACCGCCCTCTGTTGTATCTAGCACACAATATATTTATCCTCTGCTACTGCTTTCAGACCACAGCGTGAGCAAGCCATCCAGGAAATCTATTAGGAGAGTGGGGACACATTGATTCTATACGGTGCGTATTTACTGCCTTGTGTGCGACCTGCACAGACCACTCGGAATTCCGCGCTGGGACACAACAGTGCGTACTCGACATATATCACTGATTCTTCTGATCCTCTACAGACCACAGCGATCGCAGCCCAGAGCGAGAATACCGTCCCAGTCCCTCCCTCACAGACAATTTCCCCGGATTACTGGCTGGGAGGGGCCCCCGGTGGACGTCCCGCCCTCGATCACAGCCAACTGATGGCGAGTCGGGTGGCTGAGACTGCACAGCCACATGATCCGCTGCAACCTAATGTTCAACTACCGCCGTCAACACCAACAACCCGTCTTTGCGCCTTGGATCTGAACCGCCATCTCCACCGGAAGAAATCTCAAGCATCCTACGACGACCCTCGATTTTCGCCCACCCTCTGTATCTTATTTTCCCGAATAGCCCTCTGTTGTATCGAGCACACAATACATTTATCTTCTACTACTGCTTTCAAACCACAGCGTGAGCAAGCCATTCCGGAAATCTATTCGGAGAGTGGGGACACATTGATTCTATCCGGTGCGTATTTACTGCCTTGTGTGCGACCTGCACAGACCCCAGGAGATAACGGTGTGCACTGCGCATATATTCTGATCCTCTATAGATCACGGCAATCGCAGCAAAGGGCGAGAATGCCGTCCCAGTCCCTCCCTCACAGACAATTTCCCCGGATTACTGGCTGGGAGGGGCCCCCGGTGGACGTCGCGCCCTCGATCACAGCCGACTGATGGCGAGTCGGGTGGCTGAGACTGCACAGCCACATGATCCGCTGCAACCTAATGTTCAAATACCGCCGTCAACACCAACAACCCGTCTTTGCGCCTTGGATCTGAACCGCCATCTCCACCGGAAGAAATCTCAAGCATCCTACGACGACCCTCGATTTTCGCCCATCCTGAGCCATAGCACTAGGATTTACGATAATGAACCATGGCTCTAGCCATAGAAATACCATGATAACGTATGGCTGTAGCCATAGCCGCCCCACGTGCCGTGGCCATCAATGCACGTGCCATAGAGCCCAAATAAGGAAATTACACGAGCATGAATCGAACTGCTGCCCTTCAAAAAACTCGAAGACAGACGGTGCATAACCACTGCGCCATCTTTCCACTGGTAATACAGGCATAGTCAGTATAACTCCCCTAACCACCTAACCTCTGAACCAAACTAACCCTTACCAAACTCAAACCTATCTCTAACCCAAACTCAACCTTTGAAAATGATGATATATGTCCCTAATCCTTAGCGCTAACCCTAGCCCAAACCCTAACTGGCTAACTGGCGGGCCGCAGAGGCGCCCGCCTGTGCCCGCCCATCACAGAGTTTCCTAGATTGTCAGCCAAGTCACGTGCTGTGGTGATCGCATCGAATATCTGTAGCCTAACACCATGGCCTCAGCCATGCCATGGCTACAGCCATGAGTTATTATGGAATTTCTATGGCTACAGCCAGGAATTATGCTAAATCCTAGTACTATGGGTGCCATCCTCTGTATAATTTTTTCCCGAACCGCCCTCTGTTGTATCTAGCACACAATATATTTATCCTCTGCTACTGCTTTCAGACCACAGCGTGAGCAAGCCATCCAGGAAATCTATTAGGAGAGTGGGGACACATTGATTCTATCCGGTGCGTATTTACTGCCTTGTGTGCGACCTGCACAGACCCCAGGAGATAACGGTGCGCACTGCGCATATATTCTGATCCTCTATAGACCACGGCAATCGCAGCAAAGGGCGAGGATCACTTCCCAGTCCCCCTTTCACAGACAATTTCCCCGGATTACTGGCTGGGAGGGGCCCCCGGTGGACGTCCCGCCCTCGATCACAGCCGACTGATGGCGAGTCGGGTGGCTGAGACTGCACAGCCACATGATCCGCTGCAACCTAATGTTCAACTACCGCCGTCAACAACAACAACCCGTATTTGCGCCTTGGATCTGAACCGCCGTCTCCTCCTGGCGATATCTCGAGCATCCTACGACGGCCCTCGATTTTCGCCCATCCTCTGTATAATATTTTCCCGAACCGCCCTCTGTTGTATCGAGCACACAATATATTTGTCTTCTGCTACTGCTTTCAAGCCACAGCGTGAGCAAGCCATACAATAAATCTATTAGAAGAGTGGGGAGACACGGATTCGACACGGTGCGTAACCTCTGCGTCTTGTACGACCTGCGCAATTTACTGCCTTATGTGCGACCTGCACAGACCACTCGGAATTCCGCGCAGGGACACAACAGTGCGCACTGCGCATATATTGCTGATTCTTCTGATCCTCTCCAGACCACGGCAATTGTAGCCCAGAGCGAGGATCCCTTCCAAGTCCCCCTTCACAGACAAGTTCCCCGGATTACTGGCTGGGAGGGTCCTCCGGTGGACGTCGCGCCCTCGATCACAGCCGACTGATGGCGAGTCGGCTGGCTATGTAGCGGCGCGGCTTGTAGTCATTCTGGTATCTACTCGATCGTCGTCCCCGATTCGAAACTCCGCCTGCGCCAAGTCGGACTCCAGCGCTCCCGCAAATCAATCAGCCAACTTTGCATCGTCTGAGGTCTTCCATCTGACTGGTGTGTCATCGGTAAGACCCATGTTTCGGCGCATCATAGAGAAAACCGATCGCTTGGTCCAGACAGCGTCCCCGCATTCAACGAACACGGATGTCGGCGCAGTCTGGAACATTGTATACCTCGCTAATGCAGAAATCCATGACGAATGATTCAAAACCATACATAAGAAACAGAGCTCGTACAAATGTAGTGAAAGGAAACGTCCGAGAATACGACACTGAATCTAGACGTCCTCGAGCAACCGACTCTCCACAGGGGGCGCAGGGGCAGCGTCTTCGACTGGTGGCTCTGACTCAGCGGATGGTTCCTCGGCTGCGTGCGGGGGACGGCCTTCCGGTGCCGTTTCCTGCTGCCGCTTGCTTGGTCGGTGAGAGACATTGGCACCGCCATCAACCGCGGACAGATTGCGAGAGTGATCGGGTCCTTCTTGTCGACCTGTAACATCATCATTCAGCATGTGCCTCGCGATAGGAAGACAGTGAGCCTTACCGGGTATTCATTCGCACACATCTCCAACGCAAGTCGTCCGTTCGAATAGTTTGGTGGGGTGGTGGACCCATCTCTCCGCGGAAAGAACGTACTCGAGCTCGTCGTCGTCCTCTTTCTCGTCGATGCTACTCCCTTCCTCGGAATCCTCCTCTTCCCTGACGTGCCCAGTCGACCGCACAGCAGCCGCAACCGGCTCGCTCCTCTCCATCTTTTCGCTCGAGACCAGGTACCGCGCGCACAGCATCCGGATAGGAAGCCCCATGCAAGATCTCCACCAGACAGCCGAGTGATGGTCAGCGAGCGGCGCATGGTCCCGCTCTTCGTCGTGCCGCTGCCGTCCTTCGCGCCCTCGATATGGAGCTTGGATTGCGCGCTGGCGTTGCTCGGCGGGCCGAGCGTGCACAGTGGCAGAAACGGGCCGAACGCCGGTTCGCGCGCGCGACGAGCGGGTCCGCGCTGGCGTATTCGTGCAGGAACCATGCAGGTGTCAGCACGAAGTAGTGCTCACGATAGGTTCTAGTGAAGCGGTTCGTGCGCTCGAGCATGCCGGTGTGCGCGGCTTGCACGCTCGGGTCCTTCTCGCTCGGATAGTTTGTCCTTCACGTCCGCATCAGCTGGTTGGGGGCTGACATATGGCGCGTCGTCGAGGGAATGAACGGATTGAGTGGACGCGGATGGAAGCCAGGGAGCTGAATTTCATATTGAAGTACATGAATCCTATGTATACATCGACCTCGAGCACCTGCAATGGAAGATTAGTAAAGATAATCTGCGGTAAAAGATCCCGGACTTACCTGTCTAGACTCTAGTTGATGAGCGATTCTCCAGCGGACTTAGCGCACAAGCCGATGATATGCTCCAGGCTGGCCAAGCCTCCAATGTCGGAGAGCCTCCAAAACTCGCGATGCAGTCGTGTGTAGCCTTTGCAGCTGCACGGAACCTTCGCCCGCTGGCCGATCGAGTCCAGAGCGGTATGAACGATGTGCTCTGAAACGCGTCAGTAAAGCGAATCGGACATGCGGTGAGGAGCGCACCAAAGCGCATTCGTCTCGACACTCTATACAACTTCAGCCAGATCAACGCGTATCCGGATCGCTCGCATCGGCGGTACTCTCTTTGCCGGCGTCGGAAGTGGACGGCATGACCGGCCTTCACACGAGCGAGGGAAAAGAGATCGGACGAGGTGAGCGAACCAGTGAGGTAGCCTTCGAGCGTTGTCTCAGGGATGGCGACGACCGTATACACCCATCCGCGTCCGTCCTTCGCGTACGTTTTGAGAAGCGGAGAGGGGGATATAACGTCGAGATCGACTTGTGTCCTGCACCCAAGGTAAGCATCTGGTATCAAAGAGGCCAGAGGCCTCAACCACTCACATGCCCCCAGTTCCGCAACTGCGCAGACAGCGCACGATCTTCTTTTGCACAGCGGTTGAGACAGGCATGGAGTCGAAAGCGTTGGAAGCGTTGGGCGATGTAGCTGAGTGCGAGTACCTGTTTGTCTCGATAGCTCGATCTCATCGAGCTCAGACTCAGTCCCGCATTCTTGCTTCGATATTGTGCTCTGTACAGAGCAGATTGATAGCTTCAGCACGCTTGCGGGCCAGGATTCCGCTCTCTCCCGCTTGCTACCTGGGAGCATCGGATGCACTCCTGGTATGGCGTTGTTTCGAATCATGTTGCCAAGCAGTAGACCAGCTCTTGCGTGTTTGAGGGGACAAGCGCGCAGATACAAGCTTCAAGTTCAGGATGGCGGGCCAGACAGTTATTTCGAGGATGAGTCCAGCCAGCAGCATAGAGAATGAGGACAGGTAATTCAGCTCGACGTCATCTGGCATCGCCTTGCTTGATTCTTGAGGTGCGGATAGAACCTATTGACCACTTGTTACGCAGACGCGTCTTGGTGGGAAGCCGACATGTTTCTTCATCTGTCCGACAGACTGTACTGCTGGATCGACTGCACGCTGTGCCTGTTTCTGACGGTGCACTCACTTCGGTGAGGCAGGATGTTGGAAGCTAGCAATCGATGGCAGTGGTCCGTGGATACAGTGATGCACGTGGTGTGTACCTACGTACAGTGCGAGTCGGGTGGCTATGTTACACAGCCACTCGCCACACTGTCCAGTTTATGCTCGAGAGTTTTATTGTCGGTTTCAAAAAATGATCCAGGAAAAGAGCCTAGTAAGCATATGCGTGGGGGGCTTCTCACATCCTCAATTATGTATCTGGAAATGCGGAGATGGGTGTTTGAACTAGATATGCAACGAAGAGGGTGTTCTTTCATGGGTGCAGATACATCATTCGTACGTGCTCAACCGTAGACCAAGAACAAAGCCATGGTGACTCCAAATCCAAGGACTAGCCACAAAATGAGGCATGTCCAATGGCGATACGTGTCGATATTGTATTGACGCGATTTGCCGACTCGGCCTTCGCGAATCTGCCTCGAAGGTAAGTAAACCGCAATCTGGGAACCAAGGGCACTCACATTCGCGGTGATACGTTCTATAGTGAGACGAATAGCTTTCAACTCTTGGTCAGCTGCATTCCGCGTGAGGACCATGTTCTCAAAGAGCAACTAGTTTCGTGAGATGGGAGGTTGTTCATCAGCGATAAACCGCACATGCCTGTAGCTGATCTTTCAGCCAAGACTGAAATTGGACGAGATTGGCTTGTGTTGCCCCAGAATGCTCGGTAGATCGCGCCAGAATATCCCACTTTCTGACTATGAAGTCCGCCCAGATAGCGTCTAGACCGTCACAAACGGTAAGGTAGAACACCTCAGCAGAGAATCCATGCGCCTTGGAAGTAGCAGAAAGCGCTCGGAGCATGGCAATTCGAAGAAGGGGCTTCTCTGCTTCGGATGAATCTGTTCATAATATTGGTCCGAGAAGTGATGTATGGACTTGAGCAGAGCTACACGCACAAGCTTGATTGGAATGCAACGATCCAATGTGCTGTAAGATTCCACGCATAGATTGAGTGTGCTTCGCAAGGAACTTATCCTCCTCTTCGTTCACAAGACGGACGGCGCCATCAAGGAGTGCCTGCGTTTCCGAAGTCAACGAGGAGACTCGGACAAAGAAGTTACAACGCACCTGCATGCGGGTTTGCAGCTCTGCCACTGTAGCATCGACGATGGGA